ACATAATGTCTAGTAGAGTAATAATATTAAGAAAAAATATATTCACATACATCATGAAAGTTTATAAAATTTCATGCATGATCATTTTTATTGGACATTAGGTAATGTTTTGTAGTGTAAGTGAGAAGATTTTGGCTCACAAAATCTTTATACCTTTATAGACGTCGATAGACATTGATGATGCAATCGATGCATGTTAAAAACAATCTTGTGAACGAATTAGGCTTTGTCCTTTTGGCTAGTTAGTAGTTAGGTTTTTAAGTGGCAACTTGAAGTTTATTATGAAATTAGCTTTTATGAACGTTTGCTAGTTGATCACTTGAATTTTAATATTTATATTTGAATTTCTAACATGTATATAGTTTTATTATAACCCCCGTAAAAACCCTTATCCGTAACGCGACGTGTATTAGAATAATTATATATAAATATATGTATATTAAGAGTAAATATAATTATCATTTCATCATGAGAAATTAATGCTTGAAATATGTGATTTATGTTAAATTAAAGTTATTGTGCTTAAGATTAATGGTTTAATTATTAAAGAAATCAAATATGCAAAATCGGTGTTTTAAGGACTATATTCTGCTCGAGTTTTGTGTGAATTATTTGAGGACTTTAGGATAATTTTTGGGTCAACCTTAAAGAATGAAAGTTGTTCATCTATGTGTTGAATAGATATGTATAAACTTTTATAATATTTAGACCTATACATTAAGAGTTATACCAATTATAGTGATGGTTGTTTCGAAATGCATTCTGCTGGAATTTTGGGAGAAGAATATGCCCGAATCTTGTGAGATTTATTTATGCTCGTTAGATTGATTTTTGAGCAAAATTTAAAGAATAAAAGTTGTTTTTCTATATGTGTAATAGCTCTCTATAAAATTTAATAATTTTTGGATACATATAGAAAGAGTTATGCACATTTTAGTATAGATGGGTTAGGAGGAAACACTGCTAGAATTTTAGGAGGAAAAGAAATTCTGAATTTTTTAAAATGGAAATTTCTAAATTTTTATGAAAGAAAGTAGTTTTATTTACTTGAATTAAGTTAATTAATAATTTTAATTATTCTAAATTTTATATAGACACCTAAGCAAATGCAATAAATGAATTTAATGCCAACTCACCCATTATGTATTCCAAAGCTGACTAGACTTTCCTCATGACTCACCCATAACTTTTACACCTTATCCCATTAATTTCTAACACTTGTAGCTGAATGAAAGTAAGTGTGTGTATATATATATATATATATATATATATATATATATATATATATAGCAAGTGTTAAAATGGAAGAAAAATTTTAGCAACCCGTAGGTACCAAAAATTGGGAGAGAAAAGGCAAGAAAGAAAAGAAAGGAAGAAAAACGTGAAGAGAGAAAGGAAAGGAAAGAAAAAGAGAAAGGGAAAAAGAAAAGGAAAAGAGCTAAGGAAATTCTAATCAAACCTAAAAGAGGTAAGTAGGTTTCATTTCTTGGCTGATTAATGTCTTAAATTAGTTTTTTAAGTTATTTTGTTAGTGTTTATTTCATGGGTTGTAATAATCTTTCATGGTTATATGCTTGATGCTTGGGATAAATCTATGTATGGATGCCTTGTTGTGGTGATTTATGATGTTATGATTTTTTGAAAAATTTCCAAGTATGTGGTGATGGGTTGGATTGGACTTGGACTAAATTTAAGTGAATTAAAACATGTTTAAAATTGGCTTGGAATGAACTAATAAATTAGAGTTGATAAGGAGTAAATTCTGTCCGAATTCTGGGGTGCATGTTCAAGGATTGTAGGTCACTTTCTAGGTGAAACTTAAAGAATAAAAGTTGTTCATATATGTTTCATCTAACTCCCTTTAAAATTTCTTGGTCATTGGATTTGTGTACAAAGAGTTATACCCAATTTAGTATGAATAGCTCTAGACAAACTACTATTAGGCAGATTGCTCCCTAAGTTTCAAAAATTTGTAATTAATTGTGTACTTGGTATTTAGACCTAATTTTTGGATATGTTATAAATAAATATGTCTAGTATCTAAAATAAAATGGGTAAGATTTAATTATATTCTGAAATAGAAAAATTATTTACTCGATTAGGAGTTGCCCGGTAATAAACCCTAAAACCAAAAAAAAATAGACTTGGACAAAATTAATAGGTTTGGAATAAACTAAATGAGCTTGGACTAAATAAAATGGAATTAAATAGAGTCAATGTACCTAGGATAAATTTAATGGGCTCGGATTAAAGTAAATGGACTTGGACCTTCTTTTAAATATTAATGAAACTAATGAACAATATTAATGAGTGGAGATTGTGTTCCCGCTATGGGTATCATGATTGATATGTGAGCAATGGATAAAGTCCGAGTGTGGATTGGACCGTGAGTATGGCATGAAAATGAAGGGTTGGTACCCGAATTTGGTTGAATGTGATTAACTATGTCATCACATGCATCATGTGTATAGTGGGTGGTTTAAGACAAGTCAATTGATTGAGAAATGGTTTATACATCTAGGTTTGATAACCTAACTAGAATAAATGGGTATTAATAGTCCAATACTCTAGGTCGTGTGCTCGCACCATTAGACAATGAATTCCCGCTAATAGTAGTTACAACGAGGGATAATTCCGTTGTAGCGAGAAGATGATCCGAGGATCATCCGGATGAAATCAAGTCGTGTGCTTGCACTTCGTTAGACGATGGATTCCTCGCTAACGGTAGTTACAACGAGGGATAATTTCGTTGTAGCGAAGTTGATCCGCGGACCACCCGGATGATAAATAGAGTAGACCGGCTAATACCCGTGGTACCCGAGATTAAAATTTATGAGTATGGTGGGAAGTCAAAACAACATTGCATATCACGTGCATCACCCCGCTTATTGAGCTTCGGCTCACCCTGTTGTTATTTTTTTTTATGTCTTGACGGAAAAAGGACAAGTTGATACGGATGTGGTCGGCTCCTCCTAACCGGCTCATGTGAGGCACCATATATTAGTTTTTATTTTTTCTGTAAATTTGGGGTATGGAGTTCGTAAGAAATTGAATATCGCCCGTAATGTTTTATTAATGTATTTAATTATGTTATGTAAATTTTATCTTAAGGAGTTATATACGTAATGTACTCGTTAAAGTCCTAAGAATATCATAAGAAAACTACTTAGAGTTTAGGGTATGTCGGCGTAACGCGCTTCATCCAGATACCTTACTTGGGTAGTAGAAATATGACCGAGGCGAGGGCGTTACATTTATGCTTTAGAAAATATATATAGTTATGACATGTGTTACAAAATATATTATATTATAATCTTATGATGAAATGTTAAGACTTTAGTTATTATATTTATATCTTATTTGAGTTGAGTTATGTATTGCATGTAGCGTCCTTCTACTTGTGGTGCCATAATATATAGGTTTGGATGTCTAACACTACATTCCCGACATAATTAATTGATTGGAATTGATTATTAGTAGTTGTGATAAATATAAAATCGGTTTAATAGCACTAAAGTCCATGTGATCTTGATTTTTTGTCCAAGATATTTTTGTAATTTGGATTTAGATAATTGAGTCTTGTAATTGGTATATTAGGCGGCAGTGGTTTTTTCGTCTATAATCAATCTAATTTTTAGTTAATATTGACCTTTGAAAAAGAAGAGGGATACATGTTAGCTTTCTATTAGATCCAATTAGCTTTTTATTTGATCCAATTTCAGAAGGAAAAAGAATTGATTAAAAATTTTAAAGAACATTGTTCTTTTTTTTTTCGCCAACTTCTCATTTATTATAGCTAAAAATTATTTTTTTGATTTTTTTTTACTTACTTTGGAATTCTATTTATTTACTTCATTTTAAAAAGAGAAAAGAAAAAAGATTGCACTTTTTTGTTAATATTTTATTAATTTATGCTTCGTTGTTTTATTTTCCTAGCTAATTGTTTTTTCTAAATCCAACGAAAAAATTTAATAAAGAAATAAAACTTATGTAAAAATCATAAAATCTCAACATCAAGTGTTTTTATCAATAAATCCATCAGTTTATCATTCATTGATGAAATAAAAAAAAAGAAGTAAAATTAAAAAAATAAAAATAAAAATAAAACTCTTTTTTTTACGGTAAATAAATAAATAGTTAGCTAAAATTCATTTAAAAATCAAATCCAGCATAAATTAATAAAAAATTATTTTTTTTATTTTTAAAAATAAAGTAAAAAATTAATGTAAATAAAAAATTTTGTAAGATAATCTCTAGTAATAAATAAATAAAAAGTTGGAAAAATGTTTTCATAAAATTTTCGTTTTTATTTTAAGTTAATTTTTTTCTATGATTAAAACCAATAAAAAACTAGCACGTGTCCTTCCTTCTTTTTTAAAGTCAAAATTAATATAAAATTAGGTTGACTATAGACGGTGAGGTCTCTTTTGTTTAACAGATCAAAACATAAAAATTTAATTATTAAAATTGAAACCATAATAGTGGTTTTGTCAAATAACCTGTGGTGTCGTTAAACCATGTAAAATCCATCAAGGTGCCCTTCTAGCGCATGGAGTTAATTATAACTTACTCTCCGTAGTGTAGTAAAACTAATAATTAATCCTCATACTTTTAGAAATTTATATTTAATCCCTATATATCGAAATACATTTATAACTTAATTATTTTTGACATTTTTTGTTTTTTTTTTCAATTTATTTTGATTTTTTTATTTAAAAAAAAAGTAAATAGGATGGAAAGATTAACACAAAAAAAGAAGATTTTTTTTTCAAAAAATATTACTAAATTAGTTATGAAAAACACTAAATAAATATTCATGGTTTAGTGGTTATGTATTTAATAATTTCTTTCAATGAATAAAGTTTAAAATCTAATAATTTTAATTTATTTTATTATTATGTAATAAAAACGAGGTTATTTTTATCGTGTAGCCTAAGGCACAATGGCTCTCTTAATGAAGGGGAAAAAAAACCTCCGAACCATCCAAAGCGAGCAACAAGATGAGTGTCTGTCTCTTCAATTCCCTGCTTAAACTCTCAACGCCAACAACCAACGAAAAGAACCCCAACTGTTATCCTCAACGCCAACAATAACTGGGCTAAGAAAACCTTACTGGGTGGTGCCATAAATGGAGCACTCTCACTCAATTTACTACTTTCCTCTCCATCTTCACTTGCTTTGGAATCTTCATCACCATCACTTCTACAATCATAATCAACAGAATATTTTTGCAGTGAAGAAGAAATCCGACAAGACTTTCAGGTAGATACCGAAACTCCTCAAGTGCTGACTAATGAAGGAATTGTGGAAGAAGCTTGGGAGATTGTTAATGATAGCTTTCTTGATACTGGTCGAAGTCGCAGGACTCCTCAAACTTGGCAGGTAAAACGCACAATACATACATACAAGAATTGCATGCCTTCTTTTATCCTGTCTATATTCGTGTTTAATAATAATTGATTGATAAATGAAGCAAAAAAGGGGAGATATTTTAAGCAGTTCGATTCAATCGAGAGCGAAAGCCCATGATTTAATTAGAAGGATTTTGGCTAGTCTAGGTGATCCTTACACGCGGTTTCTTGCACCTGCTGAGGTAGCTTCTGCTTCTTCTTTTTTCAATGTGATTAGAAATGTTGTTTTTGCTTCTCTTTTTATTTTATTTTATTTTTTTATGCTACCAATGTACTTTTCAGCTCTCGAAGATGGGGAGGTATGACATTTCTGGTACTGGAATAAACCTTAGGGAAATTCCTGATAAGAATGGAGAGGTGAAACTGAAAGTTCTTGGATTATTACTTGACGGGCCTGCTCATTCTGCCGGTGTGAGACAGTTTGTTGTGAATTTCAAACTGTTAACCCCTACGTGTCAATGTCTTTCTTGTTTGGTTGTTTTGTTTTCCAAGTGATTGTTGGTGTTTGTTATTATATTGCGATATGGTTATGGCTTGAGTTGATCAGTTTATCCTTTGCGTAATCTCTATGCTGATTAGTGATTGATGAGCGTTTTCTTGCCTTCATATCATACTGTTTATGTTGGAGTTTCTTATCAATGTTTGAATATATTTTTTGGGTTGGTTAATATATTTTTCATGTTCGTTTGTTTTATGTTAATACATAACTACTAGATGTCATTAGTGTGGCATGGTTTTTGACTTAAGTATAGAATGAGCTCACTATGGTTTTCAAATTAGGAGTGCTGTTTCCAGGTGCATATATTCATGGATAATGAAGAAGTGACCTGACAAACTCCTCCTTTGGAGTGAAGACGGCTATTCTTTCCCTTCTCGTTCTGCCACTTTAGGTGCAAATGAAGGACAACTATAATGGTTTGTTTTTCTCTGCAAAAGGTGTTTTTATCTCTCTTGTAAGATGCCCAGCCGCTGACAACTAAAACTTCAACATGATATAAAATTTAGTACTGAATTTCGTGGTCATTAACTTTTGAAGATCTAAATGCTGCTGTTTTCTAGTGTGGTTGCACCTATTGTTAGATTGGTTTTGCTAGTTGATTTGGGTTGAATAAGGCAGATGTTCCTATTTGGTTGCAGTATGTGCTTTCACCATAATTAGTGTATGAGGTGAGTTTCCTTATGTTCTATCTTTTTTTGCTAGGGGGATGAATTGTTAGCTGTTAATGGAGTGGATGTCAAAGGGAAATCAGCATTTGAATTATCATCTTTGTTACAAGGCCTAAATGAAACAATTGTAACTATTAAGATTTCTAAAATTGGCCTCAGATATACAATATTGCTGCATTAGCCTTTTGGGATTTTATCTTTGATTGATTGTTCTAAACTTCTACTACGTAGTCATATTATAGGTGAAGCATGGAAATTGTGGACCTATTCAATCTTTAGAAGTTCAGAGACAACTTGTTGCTCGAACCCCCGTCTTTTATCGATTGGAACAGATAGAGAACAGCACCCCTTCTGTTGGGTACATACGCTTGAAAGAATTCAATGCATTGGCTAGAAAAGATTTGGTTATTGGTAAATGATTATCTAGTTTAACTTAGCACAGCAATTTTATTGCAGCAACCATAACATACTTTTGATGCGTCAACATTTAACATTATATTATCTGCTTCACTCTTAGGTTTATTGTACTGCCTAAAAATAGTTGTCAAATTGAAGTATGATTGATTTTGTGTTTTTCCTTCTTTTTCATGCTGCCTTTTCGTTTTTCAATTTTTTTTTTTTTTTTTAAATTAATATAAGACCCAAATGATTGAAAGAAGCTACATGTAAACTAGAACCATTGATGCTATAGTAAAATCTATTTTGATCCAAATTGGGACTTATAATAGACCTTTGGTTCTACTTCTGGTTTTAAATTTCTTTCAGGCAACAAAAGTTGGGAAAATTGGAACACAATTGAATTATCATACAAGCAATTATGCAACTGAGAAATACGAAGCGATGCTGTGGTGCTTTGGTAGTTTGTTTTGATAAAACGTATGCCTCTGTAATGCCACACTGTTTGGATTTCTGTTTTTGAGTTTGTCAAGGTTGCAAGTGTGAAAATACCCCAAGTTTTCTCCTTTGATCATCTTTTATAACACCAACCACAACCCCACCCCCTCCCCAATTCAATATTCAACACCTGTTTATGCTTTTGCAAAACTCTAAAAGTTATTTAAATTTTAAATAGGGCTTATCTCTCTAAGCTCATGTTTTTGTAGTTTTAGCCAGCCTGATAGTCTTTAGGAAATGATGATTGTGCAGCAATGAAGCGACTTCAAGACAGGGATGCCTCATATTTCATTCTGGACCTGAAAGATAATCTTGGCAGATTAGTACAGGTTCCTATTCATTTATCTCCAGCATTTAACTTCAGTTCCATTTTTAGTTCTGATGATCTAGTCATTCCATTGTTTGTATATTCAACTGTCAATTTATTTTACTTTACCGAGTGAAAGAGCTTAAGCATATGTCAAATGAAGATCTGGAAAATGGAAATAGAGTGAAAGAATCATTCTCACTCACATGCACATCCTTTTGTTGGTCAGGTCATAACTTCATTTATAATCACTTTCTAGAGAAACAGAAAATAAGGAAGAAATAGCAGCTATATGCCTTACAAATGCTTTTGATAAACTAAAAATAGCCAGTGGATGGAACTAAGAGAGCAAGGATATTGGTGGTCTTCATGTGAGCATAAATGTGTGGGATAAATGTGGAGAATTTACAAGAGTGGAACGAATGGATGATCCTCAAAAGAAAAAGTTTAAAATAGTGTCTGCCTTCCCTTTCCATCCTCTCCTGACAATCAACCACAAAGCATGGCTAGGATTGAAAATCCAACTAGAGTGGTGAGGGAAGAATCAGCATTGACTCTGATTGTACCACTTCCACCTCCAGTAATACTGATGGGAACTGTTATGGTTCATCTTAGCTTGCTTGGGCGATTGCTTTCTGGTTACAAACCTCCATCCAGCACTATTGGCCCATATAACCTGCAAAGAAATTGCAGGCTCCCGATTTTACCTTTTCACCCCATTGCTTTCTCCATATCTCTGCCACTCTTGGTTGCCCGAAGAATCATCGAAGAAAAAAAAAAATTAAAGGCTGAAACGAGATTTGTCTATAACAATGCTCTTGAACATCTTAGACGAATCTCTGACCATCATCTTGTCCCACTTTCAGGTAACCTTACCATATTGTGTTTATCTGATCTTTAGACAGCACATAATAATGCTTTTCTGCAGCCTCTTCCTTGCAACATTAGTAGGACATAATATTGTTGAGAACTAAAACTGTGGAATTATCAGCCCTCGTTGCATTAACAATCTTCCAGAAATTTAGGCAGTGAAGAAACTTATCTAGAATCAATCTGTTTTTGAGGGCTAATCCCCTGTCTGCTGTATTGATTTCTTACTCAACTAATTACATTCCTCATAGCACCCACCTACTAATTATTTGAACCTTTATTTTTGTCTTCTTTTTCTAACTTAAAAGAGGCCTCATAGCTGTTCATGACATGCATCAACATGCGTCAAAAGGTGTTTTCAGTAACATAAAATAAAGACAATGTTCATGCAACTGTAGACCTGTTCATGGCAATCTTCATGCATTTATATCACTAAGTTCACTGGTTGTAGTTTCCAAGGGAATGATTAGCAAATGAGCTTACTGAAACTGTTAGGAGGGAAAACAACAAAGAAATTGTTTTTTCTTCCTTCCAGTTTGAGGGATGGATTTGACTGTTTTCAGTTGCACTATTTAGGCTGAATATTTAAATTAACTAGTTGACCATCTTAGTAAATTAAAGTTTCTTATAGACTACCGAGAGGTTGACCTGCTGAAAGTTCATTGGAGGGATTGATATGAATAAATACTTGAACTTTTGCATATATGCAAACAAGTATATCCTAATGCATATCTTTTTGTCTTATGAAATAAAACCTCGAAGTCATATATATTTATCAGAATAAAATAGCATTGGATCTACTTCAGTGAGATGATTGTGGATTGTTAGTCAAAGAGATGATCTCCCCTGCATTCGAAGTTTTGTTTGTTCTGATGAATTTGCAAGTTTGTCAATCGATATCTTTTTTCTTATTTCAGGCTGGAATTGAAATTGTGAAGCTGTTTCTGAATGAAGGGGAGAAGGTATGTGGGTTTCGAATATTTCAACTTTGAAGAACCTTTTCCTGTTTGTTTTTGTTTTATGCAGCTGACGTCTGAAGTTTTTAGCATGACTTTCCTTTTTCATCAACTTCAAAAAAGTTAGCACTCTCTCATTAGGTTATGCGGACGATGGGATTAGGAACAACATGGGGTGGATCTAGAAGGCTAAAATCCATCTTTGTCTAGTTGAAAGTATACTATCATTGATAGGTAGCACTGGGCATGGTCTCTACCATTAAAGTTGAAGATCAAAGCTTCATGATTGAGATAAAATGTCATTTCTTGTGAGTGATTTTGACATTTGCCTTGGATAGTGAAAAAGAGGAAAGTGGAGGAGGGTGTTGGGACTTAGAGCCGTTGATAGTTGATGGGGCAGATACTTACACGGAGCTCTCTTTTTGAATAGCTTCTGTATGTGAATTTGCAACTCTTTAGATTTAAGTATTTGTTGTTTCGCTATCATTATGGTAGTGATGAGGCGGACAACGTGGAATACTGGGTGTTTTCTGTGATCAAGATAATAAGATGGGATTGGTGCCTTCGTGGCAAAGGAAGAGTAGAGCCAGTGGCAGAGTGTAACATGACGATTGACGAGTAACAATGGCGGGTAGTGGAATTTGTGGAAGAGTGGTGGCGGCGCGTATGGTACTAGTGGCGGTGGCAGTCGAGTTATCGTGAATCATGAGTGTGGCAAATTGTTATGACATTCCATATGGAAGTAGGACATTCAACTAAATGTAAAATATGAACCTTTACCGGTCCTAAATTGATTTCTCAAACAGTGCGCGTGTTAAGAGTGATCTTGCCTCTATTTTGATCATTACAGTTTGGTTGTGTCACTTTTGTTCCGGCATGCAACAAAGTTGTTTTTTTGTTTTTTTTTTTTCTCCAGTCTTTATATTATACTTTTATTTCGATCTTTCAAAGTTGAAACCATTCTGTATCGTCACTTCAAGTTTTAAAATGGTTTGGTTATATTTAAAATATAAAATCATTATGAAGCATGAAAAAAAATACTGTAAATGCAACTACAAGATATTATATTTTAAAATATCTATATTATTAAAGATATAAATGCCTCAATAATTAAGGTAATAAAATCGTATCTATCATGATTGAATATATATATATATATATATATATATATATATATATATATATATATAAGAGAGAGAGAGAGAGGGAGAGAGAGAATTTACCAAGTATCCATAGTATTATTTTATTGTTTATTAATTTAATATAGATTTCAAATTAATTTCTTATCCGCACTACGTTGTTGGTCGGAAAGAATCATGAAATAATTTGAAAAAATTATTAAAGTTTAATAGTCCACGGTATACTATTAGTCTATCAAAATATATTAAATCAAAAGTAAAAAATAAATCATTGAATTTTATAAATTTTTAATCAAAATTTCATAGTTAACTCGATTTTTTTCTCATGTTTTTCATAATTTTTGTACCCAAAGAAACACGATTTATTCTTCTTTTTCTTTTTATCCATGAATTCTTAATTAAAAACTTCTAATAATCTAAAAAGAAAATTTAATGTGAAATATAATAAAGCCATAATTGTTTTTATAAGATTGTGTCGTTAAAAAAAAAGTAACTATTGACGTAAAAACTTGCATGAAAAATTATTTTTTATTCTTATTTAATGTTAATGAGAATATTAGTTTTTGAAAATTTATCCATTTTATTTTGATATATTTATTCGTAAAATTATCAACAATATTAGAATAAAAAACTATATTTGAATAATTGACGGGTTCGCAAAAAAATAATTTTAATTATTTAATTTGAAAGAAATTGATTCCATAGTATTCAAAAATAAATAAATAGATAAAGAGTAAATGGTTTGTGTTTTGTGTTGTTGTGTAGTTAATTTCTAATAAAACTAACAATTTAATATTTTTTTTATATAATAACTATACTTGAGTGAGTTTAGAGTTTTCAATATAAAATGAAAAACAATAGAAAAAATAGTTAATTTATAAGTGATATATTGAATAAATTTGAAGTTAATAGGCTCAAATAAAAATGATTCCAAAATTAATTTCAAAAAATTTTGATTGTATATAAAAGTAGCAAATAAAACACATGAATTTCTTTTTCTTTTTTTCCTTCTCAAATATTTTCTTTGTTTATAGGCCATGTATGTTAGGTCCTCATGTACAAGCTTTACATGCAAAGCTATGATTCAAAAATTCTTAGAATACATTATATAAATTATATTTTTTATATATTTTTTTTAAAAAAATCATGTTTTAAAATTTTATTCCAAAATCCATTCGTAGAAAAAAATCATATCTATCCATAAATAAATTTTAATAAAAATAAAAAATCAATTGGATGAGAATTTTCATAAAAAATGACAAATTGAAGGAATAAATTTTAAATAATAAGAATAGTATAATATGAAATATATGCTCATTTTAAAATATAAAAACATATCATATATATTTCTTCCTCCCTATGTTTTTGAGAAACCCCAAAAATAATGATTGATCATTTATAATTTTTTCCCAAGTAATCCATAACAATCAAAATTAAAATAAACTGATAAAAAAAAATGCAAAAGAGCCAAAAAAAAAAAAAATCATCTATGTAGGCAAGACTTTAGAATATATATATATATATATATATATATATATATATATATATATATATATATATATATATATCTTTCTTTCCTTAATCATTCTATTAAAAAAAAAAAAAAGAAATCCATAAAGTTTAGAAGAAAAAAATGCTCTTTCTTTCCTATATATTTTCTTTCTTTCAATAACCAAACTATTAAAAAAAAAATCTGTAAAATTTAAAAGGAAAAAATAATACTCTATCAATCTAATTTGTTTACAAAAGGAGCAAAAGAAAAAAATGGAGGGTATTAAAAATAGCAACAGTTTTTCTACTCTAATTCCAAGCATTTGTTCATTAAAGACCTTAGTTGGTTAAGCTCTTTAATAGCAAAAATTACTTTGAAACTATTTGGTTATGACAATTCAAAGTCAATAATATCAATTTAGGTTATTTGGATCCTAAACTATTAGTTTTTAGATAATTTTTTTCCTTCTCCATTATTGCTTGAGTTTTTTTTTTTTTTTTTTGAAAATTAAAATTAATTTCATTTTTTTTTAATAATAGTTAGTTCTAATGATTTTATTGTCTATGAATTTGACTTTTGTTATTGGACGATTAATTATGTGTAATGGATCTATCTAGTAAAAAAAAAAATTTTTTTTAAAGAATTTAATTTAATTTTGAAAAAAAATATTTAATAATAATTAGTTTTTTAATGTAGCTTAGATGATATATATATTTTTTTTTATGGATCTTACTTTTTTGTTAGATGATTAATGATGTGTAATGGATCCATTTATTAAAAAAATTATTTTTATTTTTCAAAATTAATTTTAACTATAAAGTAAATTTAAAATTCTTAAAATGACGTCGTTTAAATATCCGAGTTGACAATTAACATTTGACTATAAAAAATAATAGAGAATGATTAAATTTGCAATATATATATATATATATATATATATATATATATATATATATATATATATATATATATATATATATATATATAGGGGTTCAAATAGCCTAAATTGATAGTATAGATCATATTTTGCAACAATCCTAATAGTTTTGAGGTAAATTTTATGATTAAACCATATTATAGTTAACAATCAATATTTTAACCGTTGGAGATAACAGAGAAAGGATACAAAATTTAGAGATTAAAGAATACTAGATTGTTACACTCCGCCTAAAAGAGGGATTTTTCTAGAGATTCTAAAGAATACTAGATAAGTCTAGAAGCTTCTAGAAGAGTATGAAACAATGAAAAAGCCTCTAGATAAGTCCGGAAGCTTCTAGAAGAGTATGGAGCAAAGGAGAAGCCTCTAGATAAGGTCGGAAGCTTCAGAAGAGTACGAGCATTAGAGAAGTCTCTAGGATGATCTAGAGAATTCTAGAGAGTCCCTCACTAATCTAACATGTGTATATCTAGATAGTTCCTTGTAAATATCTAGATAGGATATTTCTAGAGAACCAATTGTAGCCATTAGATTAAATAGATCCTAGCCATCCATTGAGGAGGTGGAAGGCTATAAATAGGTGAGGCCTTCACTTGGCCAAGACATCTAGACATTCACAAACTTAAGAGAGTGTGTCTTTAGAGTTGTAACCTTTTAGAAAGCAATACAAAGAGTATTTATATCTCTTGTGTGTGTGTTTTTCTTGCTTAGCAACTTTGTGTGAGGAAGGCTGACTTGGTTTGTCTTAGGGAAGAAGAGAGCCAAGTGCCGCACGTGAGCTTGGGAAAGGCCAAGTCCATGACAAGTGGTATCGAGTCGAGTCTTATCAAAGTCCGAGTAAGCTTGCCGCTAGCTAAAGTGTTCAAGAGAGTAAGAATGTCTAGCTTGGGCATGGAGGATGTTGCTAAGGATGCTAGGAATGAGACCCTACCTCCTCAACCTAAGAAAGGAAGGGGGAAGTCTCGTGATGTATTAGTCTCCTTGGAGGAGCGACTCATGATGGCGGAGGAACACCTTGCCGATTTCAAGGAGAGACTCGAGGAGATAGAAGGAGATGATGAGGGGGAGACATTAGGTATGGTAGGCTTACGTGAGGTGCTCTCCAATCTCCAAGCTCGAGTGGAAACGGTTAAGAGGTATGCCAAAGAGAGAGCTGCTGAAAAGGATGCCTTCATGGAATGGAGGAAGGAGAGGTTCAAGCAACATCAAGAGTATCCGACCGGGTATGAGCAAACTCTTGAACAACTTAGAAAAGATTGAAAAAATTATCGAGAAGCTATCTCAAATGGTGTGGTCTTAAGGGACACGCCAAAAGTTGAAGTGCCAAGACCAAGACACTATACTGGCAAGCGAGATGCCAAGGAAATGAATAACTTCTTTTGGCAAGTAGAGCAATATTTCGAGGCAATGGGCTTGACTAAGGATAGAAGTCATGTCAAGACTGCTACCCTCTATCTTTCGGAGGATGCTTGCTTTATGGTGGCGTATGAAGCACCAAGAGCTCAAATAGGGGAATCTAGAGTTGTCTAGTTGGGATGAATTCAAAGAAGCCATGTATGCTCAATTCTACCCCAAGGAAGCCGATTAGGAAGAACGGGACAAACTACGAACATTGAAGCATACGAGAACTATTCACGAGTATGTCTAAGAATATCTTTCTCTTAAACTTCGAGTACGTGGTAAACCCGACTATGATCATATGTATGATTTTATTAAGGGACTTCAATTATGGGCATAACAAGAGGTGCGAGGTCGACGGCCTAAGACCTTCGTCGAACTCGTGGCCATAGCCGAATCCCTAATTGAATCCCTAATTGAATATAACAAAAGGACGGAACCCTCCAAGCCTAAGAAAGACTTCAAGGGCAAAGGTGGGGGAGCCTATGAAAAGAAGGGTTATAAAGAGGGGCAAGACAAAGCACACAAGTCCAAGAGCTTTGTCAAAGAACATGATAAGAGAGAATTCAAGCCCAAGGGTTGCTACTTTTGCAATGGGCCACATCGGTGGAGAGAGTGCCCGAAGCGACAAGCCCTCGATGCCTTGATGGAGGAGA